TTCAAGATGGAGATTATAAACACCCAGATGTCTGTTACATCATTGAACTTCTTCGCTATACGTAAGTATGGGAATTGTTACATGTAGCTAGAGTTTTGGATTAACTGAATACTCATATAAATTAGGTACAATATGATCGATAAAAAAACACCGCAACGAGAAAATTCGGAACAGGATATTGATGTGATTTTTAAGTCTTACTTGTTTTCTTGTTTTGATGACATTATGGACTTGCATTTGTAAGTTCAAACTGGTTTCATATGATCATGTTTTAATTTATTGAAACTTATTATATGTATTCTTGCTGATACATTATGAACCTTTTCAATATTATTAACTAGCGGGAAGATGGTTTCTAGAGCTTCACAACAATGCCATACTCAAGCAATGGATGCTTCTGATAAAGTATGTATGTCTGTAATCCATTATTATGAATAAACAAAATTTTAATAATTGATGACAATTCTTGTTCATAAGAAATATAATCTTGCAAAAGATCTTACCTGGGGGCGAGAATTTTCGTTTTGTGAAAGAGCAGAGCTTAAAATTGAAAATGGAAAAAAAATATTTGATAACACACTCAAGGTGCAAAAAACATTGTGTGACATGCATCAGAAGTTATTAGAAACCTTGTCTAACGCAGGCGGTGGCGCTATTCCTGTCAAGGTTGTTCAAACTTCCCGAAAACTGCTTCTGCCCGGATTTATCTTATCTCAATTTTTTATTCAAGTTTTGTTAAATGTATACATTGGTGGTAAATATTATGGATCCATTATGCTAGCAGAATTAAATGTACCCACTCAATTTGATGAAATGAGTAATATTGCAACAATAGCACGGATGATGTTGAACATTAAGGTAAGCTGACAAATTCTCTTAATTTTATTTATTGATTTTTAATTTTATTATTTTTTATGCAGAATATCTTCAAGCAAACTGTAAAAACCTTCACTTTTATGGAGGAAGCTTCCAAGAAACACTCTACAGAAAACGTATTGGTGTCATCAAAAATCAGAGAATATATGCCTCCTAAAGTTAAGAAACCAAAGAACTTCTAAATCTAAGAAATGAGAAAAATCAAGTAGTTTACTTGATGGTTTATTGTTTGATATTATATTAACGTATGTACCTGAGCAATTATCTTTGAAGGCGACAAATACGCTGAATATGATTCTTAGTACCTATTTTTAAATGGTACGTATAAAATTAAGATCATAATTGAGTGCTGCTGCATAGGGAAAACTAGTAAATAAAAGTTGACACCGATTTTGACCTCCGAATAATTGTAATATAATGATTGAAATACGTTACACGATCAGTGTTTTGGTCGTTTCGCTAACATTCATCATCATCTTAATATTTTTTTAAGGTATGCATCTAATCCGACTTTTACTAATTAACTGAGACCCGAAAAAAGATATATATTGTAAGAGGGATCGAAAAATTAGATAGATTCAACATATGTCATCCTCGCCCAATTGGGGTTTAATTGGGGCTTGAGGGATTTTTGGGAT